CCCCCACACCTGCTCGCTTGGCGCGGTGCATCACAGACGAGACCTCGTTGCCAAAGGTGGTGTTGCACTGGTTGAAGCGCGCGGCCGCGCTCAGCCCGATGGTCTTGAAGTGGGCCTTGACCCCGCACAGGAAGGCCGTGGCTGTGCCTGCGCTGTCTGGGACCTGTCTGTCCACGTTGTAGGTCTGGGGACAGAAACTCAGCTCTCATCGGCTCAGAATCCGCCCAGACAATGATGCTGCCAGTTGGGGAGTCGTCCTCACTGACAGCACTCCTAACTGGGCTCAGCCCTGCGGGCCCCCCTCTGCCCCTCCCAGCCCTCCCCTCCCCCTCCCCAGGCTGTGGGGCTCAGGTGACAGTGCTCACCTTGGACAGAGCCACATAAGGGAAGCGGTCCATGGCCAGGGGCGTCTCAGGTCCAGGATGGCCCCCCATCTGCCCCTTGAGGATGCGGGTGGCCGTCACTGTGGACACCCCCATGCCTGCGCGAGGAGAAGCCGGTCAGCTCTGGCCCCGGGGCTGGCCTGGGTTGTGGGGTGCATTGGTGGTGGGCTGAGAGGCAGGGCGGGGGGAGGGTGGAAGGGGGAGAGGGTAGAGGGGGGCAGGGGAGATGGGGGGGCAGGTGGGAGGGGAGGGGGTGCATGTCTGCGTTTTCACCGTCTCCCAGGAAGAGGATGAGGTTGTGGGCTGAGGTCTGAAGGGGCTGCCGGCTTCTGGCGGCCAGCAGGGCCTCGGCAGCCTTTTGGTTCCAGAAGGCGGGGTTCTCCTCTTCCACTGGCCAAGGGGCCGGCAGAGACTGGGGGAGGCCGGGCTTCTCGTGGGGAGCCGGGCCGAGGTCTTGGGCCCGCTTCTCAGGTAGGATGGCACCGAGACACCATGGTGGCTGCAGGACAAGGAACAGCAGCAGCAGCCAGCGTCCGTCCATGTCAGCGCTGCCGATGGCTGAATAGCAAGAAGGCGAGTTCCACACCGAGGTCCAGAGTGCCGAAGCTGAGCTGAGCTGGGAACCTTCCTTCCCACTTATAAAGGCTCAGGTCCCTGCCTCAGAGCCCAGCACCACCCTGTTCCACCCTGCCCGCTAAAGCTCATCCCCACTGGGGAGAGGTTTGGCAGGGTGTGGCTGAGCTGAGGGCCGGGGCCACACAGGAGCCTCCTGATGGGCTCAGGCGGATCCCAGGCGTGCAGGCCCCCGCGCCCAGCTGCCTTTGGGGCACAGAGGCAGCCACCCCTCCACTCTTGCTGTTTTTTGGGAGCCCATCACTGCCCCTGGATGTGGAGTTCTGGCTTAGCATCAGGGAGACAAGAGTGGCATAGAGGAGGAACAGCAGGAGGGCCCGGCTGTCAGATCGCCTCTGAGACCCGGGAAGGTGGAGTCAGGAAAATTGGGCTGCAGGGACTGGGGGTGTGCACCGTGTGTATCTGGAGTTATTGGGGTGTTAGGCCTCTGTATGTATGGGGGTGTAAACACTTTCCCGGAGCAGGCGGGATAAGTTGAGTCAGTGTTTGGGGCCAAACCAGGCAGGGACTGGGTTTTTCAGAGCAGTAATTTACACAAATGCACGGGGCACTTTTCTTCCTGAGACAATGCTTGAAGCCAGAGATGAGGCTTGTGAGGAATGGAGAGTTCCATACACTCAGATGGGCTGACAATCCTTTCTGTGGCTGTGTATTGGTGTCTCAAACCTGTAATCCTTGGGGTCGGGAGGGAAGGGATGAGAGGGGAAAGAACGAAGAAGATAACAATGCTCAATAGGAAATGTACTCATTACCTTACTCAGGTAACTGTAACCCCTCTGTAAAGTATTCTTATAAGAAAAAAATTATATCTATATATATCTATAGATATGCATATATATATCTATAGATATGCATATATATATATATATATATATATATATATATATATATATATATATATATATATATATATATCCTGTAATCCTAGCTACTCAAGAGGCTGAGTTCCAAGAACCAAAGATTTGGGCCAAGCTGGGCAATGGTGGCTCACGCCTATAATCCAAGCTACTCAGGAGGCTAAGATCTAAGGATTGCAGTTCAAAGCCAGGCCAGGCAGGAAAGTCAGTGAGAGTTTTATCTCCAATAAACCACTCAGAAAACTGGAAGCAGTGCTGTGGCTCAAATGGGAGCAAGTTTATCTGGAGCTGAGGAGCTGGGGGACGGCGCTGGGGGACGGCGCCCAGGCCCAGAGTTCAAGCCCCACACCCGACCCTCTCCTCTCCCTACAGATTTGAGCCAGCCTTTTATATTAATTTTTGCCAGATTTTATTTTGCCAGATTCAAGGATGCACTATTCTAATTGTCTAAGGTGGAAGCAGCCCACAAATCCTGGGATGACTGGATTAGCATAATCTGCTAGTGTGTGTGTTCTAGTTTATAATTTCATCCTTTGAGGAGGCTGAAGGAGGATTCGGGGTTCAAGGACACTGAGCCTGAAAGTGAGACTCTATCTAAAAGTTTTGTGGGTTTTGTGACATTACATTAGTCTTTTTTAAAGATTTAGTTTATTGGAAAGGTGGTGTTAGAGGGGTTACAGTTACGTATGTCAGGTCATGAGTATGTTTCCTGTAGAACATTGTTACCCCCACCCTCGTGTTCTCCCACTTTCCCTCACCCAGACTCCCCTCCACCCCAACTTGTAGATTTCAGTTCCAACACAGCGCCGGCAGCTGCTGCATTGTTCACCCTTTGTCCTTCATCTGTCTCATTATTTTCTTATTCCTCTTTTCTAAAGATTTTAAAAAGGAATCTTTCGGCCCATTTCCTTCTCAGGCGTCAGGGCATTTCTCTTCCACTTCTCCCTACTTTATTTTGTTACACTAAAAAGTAAAAAACTCTACCTTGTGATGCTTCTTATTTTTTGGGGGGGGGTCTGATTATGGGGCCTGAACCCTGGGCCTGGGCGCTGTCCCTCAGCTCTTCAGCTCAAGGCTAGCACTCTACCACTTGAGCCACAGCACCACTTCCAGATTTTTTTCTTTTTGCTTATGTGTTGCTGAGGAATCAAACCCAGGGCCTCAGACATGCAAGGCAAGCGCTCTACCACTGAGCCACCTTCCCAGCCCTGTGATGCTTCTTTTTGAGGGCAGTGGAAATCCTCTTTGCATGAGGACCTGAAGTTCCCTGAAGTGACTTGGAACTGGGAAGCCGAGGGACCCTCCCCCTCCTCCCTGCGCCTCTGGCGGGAGGAAATGGGCGGGCCAGCCTACAGCTGAATCGTGTAAGGCACAGAATGAAAGAGAGGGAAAACATTGAGACAGAAGACTTCATAATAGTCTTGAGGCTTGTCCCCCTTTCCCAAGTCGATTTTGAGATCGACTGTGAGCTAAGTGACAACCAAATATTCAAATTTCAGGAGGGATAAAGGAAAATAATATCTGGCCAAATGTGACATAAACAACAGCAACAAAAAA